TAATAAAATAAATCCTACTAACTCGATTGATGGTTTCATTTAATTTATTTAAACCAGGTTACCTTTAATAATATTTTTCGTTAATTTATGAAAATATCAAATTAGCCCGTAATCCTGAATCCTGATACATAAATTTAGCCTATTAATTTAACACATGTACGACTGTACTCAGTGTTGCACTATCAAATGCAATTGAAGCGCCTCTATGCCAGGGTTTTTATGTTCCTGGTCAGGCTATACTATAGTTGATTGACAATGGCAAAACACATAACCCTCCTTCTGGCGCAGTCGGGTAAAAGGCGTTACTTTTAACTGGAAAGGAACGTTCAAATACAACAAAATTCTAAGCAATCTAGTAGGTACCCAGTATTCATACTAAGAGCTGTTTACCGGTAAGCGGGAACTACTCATGTCAAGTATTTATACGGCGTGAGAGAAGCGCCCCAAGTTAACGATTTATTAATGAACTCTTCCACCTTAAGACACCCCGCAGGCTACAAACTTTTTGTCGACTGATAGTATGGTTGGGCTGGTAATCAGTATAAACATAATTATATGAAGGTGCGTATTCGGTGTGATGTGCGCAGGAATATGGATGTGCCATTATACCTGAGAAGTCGACCAAATCATCGGCCAACTAGAAGTCTTTAGAACGTACCTATTTTTGTGGAAAAAGTTAATATAATTAGGCCGCTTGTACACGTCACGAAAAGTCTCCGGCGCTGACCAAGAAATAATAATCTTGTCTGCGCTAGATACAACACGCGGTGAACGCGCACTGTTTGACTTTTCGTAGCTAGGTCCGACGAAATTCGTGTCTTGTCTTCGGCATACACGGTTAAACATAGCGTGTACAAGAAGCCTTACCTAACTGCAGAGTCTGTAAATAAACTGTCTAATTTCTAGTACTTCAGCCAACACTTTTCCCTGACTTTGACCCATACTTTTGATCTGATTGTCAAAAAATCTACGACAAGTTTCAGCATTTTATCCTTCGTCACATGTTGCTAAAATATCAATGAAAATAAAAGTTATGAATATTAATAATATTCCCCCAGAGCCTCGCAGTAAATGGTTCGTTTGATACGGAAAGCGTATGCTTCATTATTGGGACGTGATCAGATTTAAAGCCTTTCGTACAAAAAATATGGCACCCAATGTGACCCAATAAAGTAGGTAATGTTTGTCTTTTTGAAAAGGTTGAACAAGGACAGGATTTGTTTTAGATAGAAATAACGACACTATTCCCACCTTTTCTTCCCACCGCTGCAACTCCTGTGTAGCCAGGATCCACAGCTTGACCGCCAATAAAAACCCAACCAGTGAAGGTCAAGTTTGTCCCGGAGAAAGGTTAAACTGTCATTGGACCTGCAACGAAATTAATCATAAGAACATAGGAGGAGTTCGAAGAAATTCGAAGTTCAGAGAGAAATAGTAAATATAGTAGGTACAAGTGAGAGCAAAGCTAGGTATAAAGATACTGTGTTAATGAAAGATTTCTTTATTATAACGGTCACGTTCACGTTAAATGTCGTGGCATATTAAGTAGTGGGTGTGATATCAACCAATATTAGGTGGGTGGGTAGGTACTGGGTATGCTACTTAGCAAACAATTTAATATGAGAGTTGCTATTACCACAGAATAACTAATAAATACCTGCTAGCGCCAACGTTTATGCATCTTAGTGCATGTGAATACTTCTCTATGTAAACTATCTAAGTTATAATATAGAGTTTAACCCATTTAGACCTACCGTACCCTGTGTGGTACAGTATCTTTTTGAAAATATTTTGAAATACCAAACTGTCGTTAAGTTTTAAAAATGATGGTGACAGTAAGCTTAAAGTGATTATTTTACATAAAAATATTTAAAAATTATGTTTTAACAAGTGGTTTTGGAAATATTTATGAAATCCCTCGACAGAAAATAAAAAAAAAATTTACAATGTATTCAAGAAGGTATTATTTCTTATTATTTATGATAAATTATATTATTTATCAATTTTATTTTAAAAATAGAGTACAATAGATAATTATCATGACTACTAATAAAATATTATTGAGATTATTTTTATACGGTTTATTCCAGTCTAAAATAGGTGTACCGTATAAGGTACAGTAGGTCTATGCATGAGCATATCATGCGAGAAAATATAATTTATTTTTTATTATTATTATTTGTTTTAGGCTATTGATGCTTCACTATAATATTGCCACAACTCATGAAAAATTTGGTAATTTCAGCAAACATAAAGCAATTTTGGTATTTTCCTACTGCTGTCTTGTCAGATGACCGCTAATGATGATCAGACTGACGAAGATTCAGGCGATAAAGATAGTTTCAATGTAAATAATTACCCTCAGAGTTTTCTTCGATGGAATTGCTGAATTTCCATCGTCGTGTTGCTAAATGCGATTACAAATAGCACTAAACGTAACAAGTCAGAAGAAACCAGGTCTTCTTCAGCTATCCTCACTAACTTCGGAGATAGTAGGAAAAAAAAAACAAACGTGGTTAGTATCACAGAAAACGTCTTACAAGATATGCCAAGAATGATACTGGTGATTATGTGATTTTATTTTTAATTTATATCATACAAAAAATAATAAAAACTTTGTTTGAACAACGAGTATGTTTTGCATGCTTATAGACCTACTGTACCCTATATGGTACGGGCTCCCCACGGCCCCCTATTTATGGATTATTTTTTTAAATATTTTTTTCATGATTTTTATGCTTCCCTTTGAAAGTTTTTGCTGAAAAATCAAATTTTATTTACAAAAATAATTATCGGTCTAAATGGGTTAATATCTTTGATACCAAATAAATATTTTTTCTTTCTTTCTAATAAGCACCAAATACCCAAGTGTCGTAAAAGGCATTATTTTTTGCCCCTAACCTAAATCTGTCTTATTTCTATAAAAAAGTAACAGCAGTAAAAAAAATGAAAGCTCTACTTAAATAGTGTTTTCCTCTAGGTACTACTATCAACAAGAAAAGGGAGACAATTGACTAGATTATCTACCTTTTTGCTATTCAAAGGCCTTTGTAATGAAAATATTGAAGATTCAAAGGTTGGAATAAATATTAGATCAAGAAAAACACTAACTTCGTAACGCTACGAAGAGTAACTGGCTATCTTAAATTGCTTTTTCTCTACTTTAAACTGATGAATTTGATTGAAAAGAGGAAATACTTTTTTCCCTTATTTCTTCCAAGTCTGTGTTGATGAAATTTTGTATACGAATTATGTTAAAAGTAGAATTAAACTGCAAGTCATACAAATAACTATTACGTTACCTCTTTACCTAATATTGCGCTTTTAAAGATAAGTAAAGATAACTTTTCATTGGGAGTACGGGACAGCTACTGTAGAATAATTTTATTAAAAAATATTCAGTAAATGAAATGCAGTAAGCTCACTCTTTACTTATTTCTGACAACAAAAAATATTTACACAGATAATAAAATAGTTTTTTAAATATAGATTTTCAAAGAAAACTGATCTGGTCTATTTCAATACAGATTCAATACAGATGCGGTCAAGGGTTTGAATATGAACGGTATACATTTTAGTTGGTATTTACATGCTCATAATTATGTTGTCCTGAAGTGGTGGTAGGGCAAGCTTGGCAAGCAAGCTAATTGGGACGTGTATAAAGCGCTCTGGAAAGGGCCTGAGTTCTGAATAAAATCTTTGACTTTGATTTATTTGAATGTTTATTCTTTTTTTTTATTGCTTAATAGCACGTTATCACAACAATATACTCCTTGTGCTTACCTCGATGTGCTTTTGTCTGTACAAGCTCTTACGCCCGTATTCACAAACATTACTATGAGGTCTCACAGTGCGCTTGGACGCACAGGGTGACACACGAACTAATCACAGAGCTCTATTCAACGCTGTGCGTTCGATTTGCTGCTTCACTTAAGCAAGCATTGTTTGTGAATACGGGCGTTAGTCTAAAACTAGGTTCTTGGCATGTTGGCATTGAGAGATGTCAAATAAATTTGCAAAGTGTGCTTTTTGTAAGTTATTTTAGGTTTAAACCCGAGCTTTCTGTGCCTATAATATTTGTGCCAAATGGGAACGGACACATGGGCGTGAGGTAGTGGCATAATGACAGTGTATAATAGTAATTAATGGTATCGATTGCTACGGTCAGAGGCGGACATAAAGGTTTTATGGCACTCGCCAGTAACGGCTGACCCTGTGACATCACTTCGTTTGATGACAAAGTCTCATACATGACGTTTTAAACGTGGCCTTAGATTTTGTTGTAGGAGTTGATGTCACAAAGTAATACCCACCTTCTTAGGGATGTCCGAGAGACTAATAAGATGCTTGTTGTAACGGCTGACCCTGTCACATACTTCGTTTGATGAGTGAGACAAAGTTTCATACAGCAGTACTTACAGGACCTTTTATAGAAGACCTTAGTTAACCTGAAACTTATTAAAGTATAGTTAGGGTGTAGATTTTCCTTCCAATTATTATAAATTAACCCGTCGCTTGCCTCTCTAACTGACGTAACTGACATTTTGGAAAATTTTCAGGCGATTTGACAGATCTTGTCTTGCGAAAAAATCAGTCTTGCGAAATTGATTAAGATGGTGTAGATAACTCATTTTCGAAAAAAAAATCAGATACGTCAGTTAGAGAGGCAAGCGACGAACCAACAGACAGATATAAAGATAACTAATGACTATTCATAGTATTCATATATTCTGTCTCAAGACTTGGAGAGAATTGGTTAAATGTGTTTATCATATCTAGCCTATTTAAGCCTATTATTTTGGTCAAATCTTGTTATGTCAGACAGTGAGACCTTTATCGGAAAATATAACCAATTTATTATAATTATTATAGTAAAAAAAAATTTGACGCTTATAAAACGTGATCTTTCCAGCATAGCTGGAATGTTATCCCATCTTCGCGTATGGAACACGTACAAAACCAACATCAAGTTAGATCTTTAAAATAATGTTCTTTTCCAGGTTCAATGGGACCCGGTGTGCCAGAGAATATAACCGTGACATTCCTCAACCCGACCACGGTGAAGGTCTCGTGGTCAACCACGGCGGACCTCGTGGAGAAGTATGACGTCACGTACAAGCCCTCGGACGCGAGGTAAGAGATCTGTTGCGAGTGGCCTCTATGAGCTTGGCTTCTCTCCCTAGTGTTGTTAGACCAACATTCATCATTCATATTTAAAAGTACCTTAAGAATACATCCAATAAAATAGAAAAACGCGCGCACCCTAACACTCTACCATGAGTTTACATTAAAAACGTAATAGCTGTGAGTGCGTAAAAATAACCGCTAGGGGCACTGTACAATAATTAAATAAGTAAATAAAATCTTTAAAAAATAACTTATTTGACAGTTTAAACTCTAGAATAAACATTGTTATAAAAGATAAAATTATACATGTGCCTAAACTAGGAAAATTTTCCTGTGTCTCAGGCGAAATAAAAGCTTAACGATACTTTAAATAACATCACTAGCAAAATACATAATAGGTACATACATTATAATCAGTCTACTTACGCATAATGTTGAAACTAAAAATTAAAATCGATATACATCAAGTAATTCTGGTTACATTATGCTACGTAATATTGCTCACTTAGCGTTTTCTATTACATACGGCATGCAGCAGGTGTCATTGTAGGTACGGGTATAAAGAAAAGGCATAGTATTGCTGGACGTAATACGCTGTAATACATACCATATTATGTGTTACTACGTGTCAACCTATCCCTGTCACAATACGCCATCATCGGCAGTCATCCATCACTCCCTTCATTAAGTCGTCGCCTAAACCCAACGTCTAAGTAACGGTTGTACAAACCGCGCTAATTACAGTGACCCATATTTTAGGCAGACTTAATAAAGATACTTTGCAATAATATTATTTGGTACACAGGGTGTTAGGTAAATAGGTATATGAGCCGACACTATCCCATGTTAACATGGGCATTTATAAATGCTATGGTGAAGTCAGGATATCATCGTTTAATTTTTTTAATTTTTAAATAAATTTTATAAAATCCGATTTATATGAAAATTAAAATAATTAAAATGAAGATATCAATTTTCTGACTTCACCATACCATTTGATTTATATGCCCATGTTAACATGGGCTAGTGTCGGCTCATATACCCATTTACCTAACACAATGTATAGGTTTGTTGCTGAATTTTTGTAATACAATTTATGGAGTAACCCTCTAGTCAAGCTGTATCTAAAAAATAATAGGAGTTATTATGGACAATGGACATGTGACAAAATAATGTCAATTTATTTTATACGTTTAGATGAATGTTGGTCTAAGGAAACTCTATTTTGGCTGTTTGCTTTTTATTTAACTGTGTTCTACCTTGAACTATATCAACCTTATTGCAATTTTTAGTGCGTTCCTTACCCATGAAACTAAACGTACTAAGTATGAGTGGATGTTCTTGTTGTTGACCTTACTAATCAGTCTCAATGTTAACTCTACGATGCGATGGAGTGTGAAATGTTTTCAGCACTTAACAAACTATGACGTTTGTGTCAAATATCAAGTTTGACCCCAAACTTGTCAATTAAGTCATTTTTCAATTAATATGACTTAATCTANCAATGAAAAAATACTTTTCAAAATAAAACACACGTGTTTGTTGTCACGGCAAAAACCACATGGCCGATATTAATTGATTTTAGTTGTGTATCGCTGAGTGTTGCAATTACAGACTTTCAATAAATACTTTACGAAATATGAGGGTGGTACAATTTACCCGGCGGTACAATATACCGAACTCTCCCCTATAATAGTAATTAATGGTATCGATTCCTGCGGTCAGACGCGGACATAAAGGTTTTATGGCACTCGCCAGTAACGGCTGACCCTGTGACATCACTTCGTTTGATGACAAAGTCTCATACATGACTTTTTAAACGTGGCCTTAGATTTTGTTGTAGGAGTTGATGTCACAAAGTAATACCCACCTTCTTAGGGATGTCCGAGAGACTAATAAGATGCTTGTTGTAACGGCTGACCCTGTCAAATACTTACTTCGTTTGATGAGTGAGACAAAGTTTCATACAGGAGTACCTACTTACAGGACCTTTTATAGAAGACCTTAGTTAGATTTTGCGGTTGGAATTACTATTGCAAACCTGAAACTTATTAAAGTGGGTTAGTTAGGGTGTTAGGGATTTTCCTTCCAATTTATATAAATTAACCAACAGACACAGATATAAAGATAATTAAGGACTATTCATTCATTCTTATATTCTGTCTCAAGAATTGGAGAGAGTTGGTTAAATGTGTTTATCATTTCTGGCCTATTTAAGCCTATTATTTTGGTCAAATCTTATGTCAGATAGTAAGACCTTTATCGGAAAATGTAACGTATTTATTCTAGGTAATTATAAGTAAAAAAAAATTTGACGTTTATAAAACGTGGCCTTTCCAGCATAGCTGGAATGTTATCCCATCTTCGCGTATGGAACACGTACAAAACCAACATCAAGTTCGATCTTTAAAACCGTTTTCTTTTCCAGGTTCAATGGGACCCGGTGTGCCAGAGAATATAACCGTGACATTCCTCAACCCGACCACGGTGAAGGTCTCGTGGTCAACCACGGCGGACCTGGTGGAGAAGTATGACGTCACGTACAAGCCCTCGGACGCGAGGTAAGAGATCTGTTGCGAGTGGCCTCTATGAGCTTAGCTTTTCTTTCTCGAGTTCTTTGACCAACATTCATCTAAATAAATATGACGTATGGATCACTACTTGAGCTGATTTTGCTCAATAATAAATGTTTTATGCAGTAAATATGGTATATAAACATCGTAAATGAAGGCTTGCATTAAAAAAACTAAATTCAACATTTCGGGACTACTATCTCTCTATACCAACGCTGCAACTCTTCCATAGTTACAGTGCTACAGTTTGACTGATGATAAAAATCTAACCAATGAAGGAAAACTCTCAACATGTAAAAATATAATGCGTTTCTTCATTTCCGTTTAAGTAACCTGTATATCTTTGTACAAGAAAATGAATTCGTGTCCTTAAAACTCGCTCAGCACTTAAAGACTGCTGGGAAATCATAATCTACTTCAGTCAGTCTCAAATAGTTTGTGTCACCCGAAGTGGTCAAAAAGTCCAACACAACTTTATTCTAATTTAACAAAGACGTGTTGCGAACTTTTTGGCTACTTTGGGTGTCACGAACTATTTGACGCTACCTGTACAAAATTTAATGTAAAGTCGACGGCACATCAGACTCTACATTTTTGTTATAAAATCGTACTTACAATTTCATAGATCTTAGTAGGTATTAGCACAGGTATTAGGCTTGATTTGCCATCGCGTCGTGATGTACGAAAATACAGAAAAGGCATAGTATTGCTGGACGTCATACGCTGTAACACATACCATACTATGTGTTACTACGTATTAACCTATCCTTGTCACAATACGCCATCGGCAGCCATCCATCACTTGCTTCATTATGTCGTCGCCTAAACCCAGCGACTAAGTAACGGTTGTACAAACCGCGCTAATTACAGTGACCCATATTTTAGGCATACTTAATAAAGATACGTTGCAATAATAATATTATTTGGCAACTATGTAGGCAGGTACTAGCTTTTGTCCGCGGCTTCACCCGGTATATTATATCACTATAATTTAAAAAATATATGTTATTCTGGGTTGTAAACAATAATACTGTAAAGTTCCATCGAAATCTGTTCAGTAGTTTTTGCGTGAAAGAGTACCTAACAAACATCCAGACATCCTGACATGAAGACATCAAAACTTTCGCATTTATAAATTAGTACGATAATAGACATTTTCTGTTTATTTTACTTTGTTGCTGAATTTTTGTAATACAATTTATGTTGTAGCCCTCTAGTCAAGCTATTGACTATCATAATGTGAATTATTTATACATTTAGATGAATTTGGTCCAAGGGAATTCTATTTTAGCTGTTTGCTTTTTTATTTAACTGTATTCTACCTTGAACTATATCAACCTTATTGCAATTCTTAGTGCGTTCCTTACCCATGACACTAAACGTACTAAGTATTAGTGGATGTTCTTGTTGTTGACCTTACTAATCAGTCAGTCTCAATGTTAACTCTACGATACGATGGAGTGTGAAATGTTTTCAGCACTTAACAAACTATGACGTTTGTGTCAAATATCAAGTTTGACCCCAAACTTGGTTGGGTATTAGTCAATTAAGTCATTTTACAAATAAATTTTTATATGACTTCATCTATAAAATATATGGGTTGGGAAAGCTTGATTAATAAAGTCCGTACTCTAGCATCTAGACAGACAGTGTATACGCCAACTTAATCTCGTTAGAGGCGTGATTTAACTTTGTCACCACGGGGAATCGAACCCAACTTGGTATTAAATTTCGAAACCCCATTAATGGTGGAGCAACTTTGAAATTGACTCATTGAGAATTTTAACTGGACGCCCTTTTGTAATTAATTTATGAACATGCCATATAATTATGTATATCAAATGTATCGAAAATAGAGTAAATGATAGGTCTTTTTGGGAGATTTACTATTTAAAGATGATTCTTACTTAACGTAAATGTATTAGTGGTCATGAATTGAGGTCACTTCAGAAAGCAACTATGCAATTACGTCGTAGGCACTTGGATGCAGACAGACTGGTTGTGGAAATCCTTGTGGGAGGCCTTTGTCCAGCAGTGGACGTCTTTTGGCTGAAACGAAACGAGGAAGTAAATGGTAATAAATAGCTGCAGTAAGCAATCATTAAAATTAAAAAACTAGCCCATTGTGTTCATAAGAAAACTCTCACTATTTTTAGATGCACTTCAAAAATACAAACCAGCCGTTTCAGCCTAGCGTGTACGGTCGGGTAATTTAATTGAAAGGTACAGTCTGCCACAAAGAAATCCACATAATAGCGGAACTCCGGAAATTCCGGAAATACGGGCAAACAGCCCGAAGAATGATACAATGCGTGCGAACCGCAGCTTTCGTTGTTCGATAATTTTTATTGTGAATGATGTTTGTTTGCGGAATTGCTTTTAGCTTTGAATCTGCGTTATAATGGGGCGTTCTGTTATTATATTTATGTTATTCTAATGACATCAGTAATGGACCGGCCAGTGTTTCGGAGAACCGACGAAAAATAAAGTAAACGTCCTACAATACGAATTCTCGAGTGGTGAAATGTATTGTAGGACAATTTCGCACCACCGATTTTACACCATTAGAAGATAGCTATTAGCGACTGGAAAAAAAATGGAGATCGTGATGTAGGGAGTTTCTTGAGGGAGGCATACGTCTAATAGTGGACCGGCATATTAGGATAAAATGATGATGATGACTGGTAATAAACCTACACTTTTTAATCACACACATCTCCATAATGTCACCTTAGAGTAGGGTTGCCATAAGTGTGGGGACTCAGACGGGGACATTTAAAGAAAAACTATTAAAGGTAGAAAAAAGGAGCTTTTATTACAACAATAGGTATTAATCAACATTAACCAAAGTATTAAGTATCTGTCAACATTTTTTAATTAGCACACTTTCCCCCTTAGTCTTACTAATAATGGTTGTATAGCGGTGGTATAGCTTACAATCTTTTGACCTTATCTGTCATTGTGACATTTGAATTTGACAGATAAGGACAAAACATTGTATAGCTATACCGCCACTATACAACCATTATTAGTAAGGGGGTATGTAATCAACAAACATAAAATTAACAATAGTCACTATTGCCGACCTGAGCCGAGCGCAAGCCGAACGAGCGAGAGCGCCCGATAGTGTACGATAGTGTGCGTGACCGTGTGCGACAGTGTTCCCTATGTGCCTACTAATGCGCAATTGCTCTGNAAATCTGCTGCATATTCATAAAATATAAGAAAAAAATATTTTCATGTTTATTTAACCTGATTTTTATATTTTAAAAGTATTCAAACATTTAGATAATAACGTTAAAACATTTAAAAATAATCGTATGAGAACATTTTCGACTTCTCCACGGACGAAGTTGCGGGCAAAAGCTATTTGTAAAATAATTAGACTAAATTATTAAAAGTGCCTACCCAAAGTCATTATTCCACGCGGACGAAGTCGCGGGCACAGCTAGTCTATAAGATATATGGGTTGGGAAACCTTGATTAATCAAGTCCGTACTCTAGCATCTAGACAGACAGTGTATACGCCAACTTAATCTCGTTAGAGGCGTGATTTAACTTTGTCACCGCGGGGAATCGAACCCAACTTAGTATTAAATTTCGAAACCCCATTAATGATGGAGCAACTTTGAAATTGACTCATTGAGAATTTTAACTGGACGCCCTTTTGTAATTTGTGAACATGCAATATCTATATCTATAATATAAAAATGAATAGCAAAATGTGTTGGTAAGCGCATAACTCAACAACGCCTGGATCAATTTTACCAATTCTTTTTTTTAAATGTTTGTTGAAGTCCAAGGATGGTTTTTACAGCGAGAAAAGTTTGAATAATTTCCGGGTAAACCCTAAAAAACTCAAAACTTCACCCCTAAGGGTAAAACGGGGTCCACGCGTACGAAGTCGCGGGCGGCCGCTAGTATCAAATAAGTATCAATAATAGAGTAGATGATAATAGGTTTTGTTTGGGATATTTACTATTTAGATGAATCTTAAGGTAATGTAGATACTTTGAACCATGAATTATGGTCATTTGCGTAATAAGTAAGGAATAATATAGGTCTCAGGATGCACCTGAGTGTGGGCAGCGCAGAACCGGTCATTGTGGAAATCCTCGGGAGAGGTCTTTATCTAGCAGTAGACGTCTTTTGGCTGAAACGAAACGAGGAAGTACCTAAATGTTAATAAATAGCTGCAGTAAGCAATCATTAAAATTAAAAAACTAGCCCATTGTGTTCATAAGAAAACTCTCACTATTTTTAGATGCACTTCACAAAATACAAACGTCTACTTCCAGTCGTTTCAGCTTTTCAGCCTAGCGTGCACGGTCGGGTAATTTAATTGAAAGGTACAGTCTGCCACAAAGAAATCCACATAATAGCGGAACTCCGGAAATTCCGGAAATACGGGCAAACAGCCCGAAGAATGATACAATGCGTGCGAACCGCAGCTTTCGTTGTTCGATAATTTTTATTGTGAATGATGTTTGTTTGCGGAATTGCTTTTAGCTTTGAATCTGCGTTGTAATGGGGCGTTCTATTATTATATTTATGTGATTCCAATAACATGTACCTAAGTAATGGGCCGGTCACTAGTATTAATGTGTCGGAGAACAGACGAAAAGTGGAGTAAATGGGTTCTAGAATGGAGTCTCCTTTCTCGGCAAACGTAGCGTAGCTCACATCAACTTGCTCGATGCACTGATGACCGATAAAAGTTGCCAGCGACTACAAAAAGCTGGAGAACGCGATTTGTATAATTTGTTGAGGGTAACGTTTAACAGTGAACCTCCATAGGCGGATGATGATAAATGGTAATAAATCTACACTTTTCAATCACACTCATCTCCATAATGTCACCTTAGAGTGAAAACCTTAGGAATGCATTTTTTCTCATATTTATACATTTCAGTCAATCTTACAGAATATAACAGTTCTGGATATAAAAGTGGGTAAACTCTAAGGCGTCGATAAGTGGTTGAAGACTCGTTG